TTCTTTCTGAAGAAAGCACATCACCTGTTCAAATACTTACTAATTTCTATGAAGAGTTCATTGATGTTTATTGCATTTTTCGCACTTGTCTCTACAAATATTGCATGAATAGAATCTGCATAGTCTTTAGCATCTTTTTCCATGACTTCTCTGGAAAAACAAAGCAAAGGAAAAACTGTGAATGCACAAAACCACATTATTCAAAATCTTAAGCTTTTAAACATCTTGTTAAATGAGTGTTTTCTATTTTACCTGTTTAGCATCACAACGTTCCCTTGACTTGAAGCTCAATTCTTTACTCTGTGCTGTCTCCCTGCCTTGAGGTACAAGCACCACTCAAGTACAATCATAAACTAATCAAAGCCTCAATCCATCTGACAACATCACAGGGGAATTTGTTTCCTGAGTGTTCTCAACGTAGGTCTGCATTCAGTCACTAAGGGGTGCTTTATCCTTCACATACACCATAATTTTAGATGTACTGAAAAGATCCTAGAGCATGACTTGCACCACTCCAGCAGTTTACAAAACCAAAAAACTCACACCACTGCAGAGATCATTAGTGTAACACTTATTTGACATGAAGCATGAAGACATAGCTATCACCTATGCAGACAACAGAGCCAAGGAGTGAAAAAAGTTACTTTGTAATCCTAATGAGGCATGTTGATAATAAGGTATGTTTCCTCAAACAAGTTATAAAAAACAAACCACATGAGGTAGGGAGAGGACTGGGCTATACCTTGTATCACTCTACATACAGTTTCTAGAAAACACAGGCTACCCTCAGTAAGTAGGGACTCAGGGTATCAAAAGCACAGATTTCGGATCAATGACTCAAATATTGCCTCTGACTAACGTGCAAGCAATCTTGCTCATCAGCTTGAATAGCAACGCTTACATAATTTATGACGCCACCTAAACACCACGAAATAAGCATGTGAGACTTAATACTGCATGCCTTAGATTTGTCTTCTAAGTAATTTTATGCCGTACGTCCTGAGAGACATGCGACTTCTCACAGAAGTTACTAGAGCTCACTAGATGACTGCCATATACTGACAATTTGTAAAACTGTACTAAGAACCAACTTAGCCGTGGTTCTTTAAACACAACCATCTGTCTCCCGTGAGACACCAGCTGTGCTACCCTCTCCAATGAAAAGTAAAAACAAGAACCTTGCACACACCTTCTTTATGAATTTTGATTTATTTAACTAGGACATCGATAAAAAAGGGCTTCTTTTGGTTTTAGTACGTGCCTTCTTAAAAGTTTGGCTGTTCATAAAATTCCTCAAGAACTTTTCCTACTCCACGCAACTATTTCAGCCACAGCCAATTCCACCCCAATATTTAAGCAGGGAATGAAGGCACCTGAACAAGCAAGTCAGAAAAGCCTACACAATGCTTTCCAACAGGCCCGATGTTTTTCTTAACAAAATGAGGTGCTACGGACTGACAGGGGTACTTCTTAGAAAGTGAAGTAAACAGCTTGTATTACACTGTAGCTACACAGGCAGTTCAGGCTGTGTAACTTGGCACTGCTACCAGAAGAGGTAATCCTGTCTCCCTATAAACTGCTCACTCCCAACCCTGCCATCCCACCTCTGTTATGCCAGCAAGTGTTCAGGCTGTGAGAAGGATAAATACACTGGGATCAGTTTTCCTTACATTAAATGCTTTTCTTTAACCTCCATCCATTTTACAGCCTGCTTTACTGCCCAATCACACAAGTACTCACACCAACACAGGGAAGAAGTGGGCAAGGGCAGTCTAACCAAACCTTCTGACAGTAGAAAGAGCTCAGACCCCTTGTGAAACTACAATGCTACTGCAAAACAGCTTAAATTGCTCTGTAACTTTCACCTGTTCTGAACTCTTGAAGTACTTAGTGCTATGAGCTTAAGTGAAAACCTCCACAGTGTCAGTGGCTGTTTACCTTACATCATTAAGATCACACTTATTTCCTGCAATTGCTACTACAATGTTCGGGGGTCCGTGCTGTCGAAGCTCTTTAACCCAGTTCTTTAACGTTGAGAAAGTTTCCTGATGGGGAAAAAGAAAAAGCAAGACAAAAACAAGAGTCAGAACTGGCCCATAACACACAAAACCCACCCAGAAATTGTAATGCTAGGTCAAGGTCAAACTTCTTACCTCTTTTGTGATGTCATACACTATAATGGCTGCTGCTGACCCTCTGTAATACATTGGGGCTAAAGCACGAAACTGGAAGAAAGACACCACACATGGTGAATCTCATCGTTCACTGACCTGCAAGACCATCATTATTGAAAATAGCGAAAAACAGCTTTGAAGTTCCCACGACTGAAAGACATTATTTTACAATTACAGGGAGGCTGTACATAACCTTCCATGGAAGTGTTGTTTTACAAAGGCCAACCAATAAATAGTTTAGGGATTAGCAACACACCTACTGCAAAAAGCGAAACTTGACCTTATTCTGACTCGATTAGAATCTCTCATTTAAGACTCTAGTAATTTCAGTGTAGTTTTCACAATTAAACCTACAGCAGGTGTATTTGGCTGGTGGTGCATTTGTAGGGTACAAACTAGGCCTGTACCTCTACGCAGGCACAGTGGTATGAATCCAGAACTGAAAAAAGCAGTAGAGCACAGGACCAAGTTGCATCAAAAATATCAGTTAAGCATTCTTAAAAACAGTGTGGTACTCTGTCAATTTAAAGTGAACAAGACAATTCATCCAGCAACCAAACATTCAGTCAAGGCACCCAGTAAACTCCAGGTACTGCTTTGATGTAAGCAGATGTCACGGAGAGCTTTTGCACATCTTATTACTCACTGTAAAATTCATGAATAGAATATAGGTTATCATAAAGGCTTATTCGATTCTAATAAAATACCAATTTCCTTCCGCTTAGTACAGTTCAAGCGAGAACAATATTATAAATCACAAAAATCTTGCCATAAAGCAGAATTCCAGACCATTTATATTTGGCTCGCAAATTCTGTTTTGGAAATAGGATTTTGAACACAAAGTTCAGAATATAAAAATATTTAATAGTGCGAAAGGGGAAACATGGGCAGGCATTCAGTTCATGATGGGACATAATCCTTCTCTTCCTCCCGACTACTAAAATGTAAAAGGAAATATGTTTGGTAAACCACCTCTTGGACTGGTTGCTGGCTTTTTGATTATTTGACTATTTACATTGGGAACAAACCAAATTTCATCTGCTGATTTTGTATTACTCTCATTTCCTGCCTGCTAACACTTAGATACTTTTTTCCAGCTAAGAGCAGTCAGCAGATAAAGTATATTAACAAAACAGATGTTACCAGGAACACCAAATTTTCCCTTTGCTATTTTTCCAAAGACTTCAGCTTGGCCTCCAGCTTGTGTTTTGACAGAATTAAGATGATACAATTATACAGAGAAACTGTCAAAATTGTTAGGTAAGAAGGCAAAATCCCTATCAACTTTACTCAGTGTAGAAGAAATAAAAGGAAAAATAAGGCATGTATGTGT